AAGCTCACTTAGCACAGAGGCTGTTTCCATGTTAACACAGCACAGCTGTGATTCTGTTCATTTTAGCAATAACATGGTGAATTTAAAAGTTTGTTTAAGTATAAGGGGTACCTTTTTTTTTTTCATTTGACGTTTGTATACTAGTTTCTGTTAACCAATTCTAAATGTGAGATTAGTAAACATATGAGGGCTTTATCGAAATGCTAGGGGAAAAGGCAAGATTAGAATACAGGAAAAACTTAAAGACAGTTTTTTGTTTGTTGTTTGTTTGTATTTTTACTGTTGTGGGAAATGCCACTGAGAAGGGGCATGGGGAGTTCCTGGCAGAAGACAGGATGCCATAGTTCTATAGTTCTAGATTTTGATTAATCATGATAACCACATAGTCTAGAGAACTGAATTAAATTTCTAACCCACACAGTAGGCAAATTCCAAAACTATAGTCATTACATTTGCTGTTAAGCAAAATTTTTACTCATTTTATTAGTCTTTGTCCCACTGTGTGTTCTGTATCTGTCCTGGAAACATATTAAAGACAATTTACCTAAAGATCTCTTGGTTGAAATCAGTGTATTGTCATGCACAACTATTAAAAAAATAAATAATAAAAAATAAACAGCACACAGAGGGAATGTCTGTCACTAGCTTGTCATGATTAAGTGTGTTTTGCAGTGCTTAGGATTATTCTAGAATAGTTAGCAATAAATTAATCAATCTATTTTTTTTTGCTGTGAATGGATTATGTCTATTGCAGTGCCTAGAATTAAGGATTGTTATTTTTTGAGTAAGAATCTATAGAGTATAATTGTATTGAGTAATTTGAGTGAATAAAGCATTGAAAGGGGCAAATAAAAAAGATCTCTTGGTTGAAAGCTAAAGGATTATTTTTAAAAAGTGGGGAAAACCCTGAAATATGAGGGAAACTATTTCCCCAGTCTCCTAGAAGGGAGGAAACAGATTGGCAAGGGTGTTTATTTAAATTACTAAATTACCTTTGTACCAAGTTGAGGCTGGGGAGGTACTTATTTGCAAAGCTGTAATAGAATGTCTGTAGCAGAAAATCTTAAATAAGGGCAAAACCACTTTAGGACCTTGGCTGGAAGTTTGAACTATGAACATGAAGCAATCAGCAAGAAAATAATATAGCATTATTTCATTGATACAGATTGCCCTATAAATAAGCATAAATAAAGGAAGGGAGCAGTATGCCCAATTGCTTTGGTACTACATTTTCCTGGTAAGGAAGAAAATAAATAAGAAAGCATAATAATTTGCTTCAAAACCAGAACAATAATGATAGTTTGAAACATCTTTAAAAAAAAAAAAAAACCAACTGGTCATTAACACTAAAGACCTATCTAAACTGGGAAGGGTAGACTACGATGAGACACAAAACACGTTTTTCCTTCTTGAGCTTTTTTTAGTCTCTCAGTGCTATGAAATTAGAGCAGCAAGCTGAAATGATTTATGAAATGAAAAATTCCTGCCCACCCAGTTCACAGACAATCATGTGCAATAACTACTGTGTTCTGCTATTTGCCATAATATTTAGCTCAGATGTAACCAGAAAATCCCACTACACACAGAAGAGTCAACCATAAAAAGAAACAGATTTCATTGCATTCCTCTTATGTGTTTGTATACGGACACACAGAAAAATAATATATGCATATTTGTGCACACATCAGTAATTTTCCTTTTATCTTATCCTTTTGCTTTTCTTTTTGTTTTTCCAGAGAATTTAATTTGCTTTTACTTTTGAAGTAATTCCTTTATAAACTTCTCACTTCCTTTCTCCATATTAACCTACTGATCTTTTAAGTTCTCCACAAGATGCAGAGCCAGGTTTTACCTGAGTACTTAAGCAAATAATTACTTAAGCGAATAATATGGAATGATTGTGCTACAACAGTGATTGTGTTATTTGCTGGCTTTCTTTACAATTTTAATTAGTTTTATTAATTATATGGCTGCTTAAGAGTGTACAGTCTGGTCTGAAATTGTAGATAGTAACTTTGTGCTGTTTTGCAAAGATTTATAGAACGTATAGAAGAAACCAGCATTAATTGACACATGTAAGACTACTGGAAAGTCTCCATTCATATACATTTAACCTAGAACAAGATGAGCTACTGGGTGAAAATGAATTAAATAAAAGTAGTTGTATGCTTTCCCCTAAAGACTATATATTTTATCAGAAAGTCCTATACACTAAAAAATAGAAAACATCATAAGACCATTTACAATCAGCCCTTCTACTAGTTCAGGAAAATTAAGAAATTTTCAAAAACTAAAATAATTGGGAAGGTCAATGAAAGTGGCAAGACTTGTGATAGGTTTAAAAGATAGGTAGTTTTGGACAATTAGACCTTGTGTACTATATATGGCTCTTGTCACAACACATGTCTAGAGTTGATAAGTATGACCAAACTTCAGTATTTCCAGTTACTGGTGTTTTCCCACATCCTCTGAATATTTGAGCATTCAAGGAAGTGTGGAGAGCTACAAAAATTGGAAAGCAGTGTTTCTGTAGGAGATGGTATGATGAAGAAAGGGATGGGTAGAGAGAATTTAATTTTCTTTTACTTTTGCCTTGGGTGGATGTTAGTTAGGCAGATGGAAGTTTCCTAACTATTCCCAAAGGAAAGAGTCTTTCATGACATTCTAAAGAGTTTTCTGCCACCAAACCACCTGCTGGCCCTTTCTCACCCAGTACATATTGCTGGAATGAGGATTACTCATTTTAAAGGGGATAGGAAAATGGGGCAGGGGATAGGACACAGAGTTAGGATGTACTCAGTGCTTTCTCATTCTTTTTGCTGGGTTTAAAATAATTTATTTACATCTTCTTATAAATAATTTATTTACATGTTCAGATAAAGTCTAATGTGCTTCTGAGTGAAGTATCAGAATGTTTTTCCAATTGAACTAAAGCCTACCTTTGATACTGCTGTGTGATCTTAGTGTAGGGCAGATAACTAAATTTGACATAATCTCCTGCTTCATGAATTTGGAAGTCTTCATTCTAAAACCTATATTTTTAAGATGGCTCCATATTTGACTTCGGTGAACTTAGAATTAACACCAATTTGTTAAAATTTTTTTTTAATTAAAATCTGTTTCTTGATTCTTTTTCAATCTTCTCTAGTTAGCCAAATTTTCTAATTCTTAAATTTAACTGGACTAGGGGAAAAAGAGAATAACCAAATTCCTCTTTGTTTTTTTTCTATTGAGGAGGAGAGCAGATATTATTGTATTCCATTCTTCTAAAAGCAAAATGTGAATGCTACACTTTAGCTTCTAAAAGGAAACACAGAATAGCTATATATAGTCATCTGAAACTTCAGTTGGGAATGATTTAAGACCTTACTTAAACTAGTATAAAGAAAAAAAATTAACTAAAAATATTAGAGAGCTATATCACTAAAATTCAGATGATACTCCACCCACCCCCCAAAGTAAGGCTGAAATACAGAATCTCAGAGAAATCTATCAAGATCTCATCTCTCTTTATCCAATAGGTCTCTTCACTTTGGTGGATCATGGCCAGTAATCAAAAGCTCACATCCTATTACAGAGGGAATGCTTTTCCTCACAGCTCTGGACAGGACATTCTTACTGGCTAGTCCTTGATCATGTGCCCACCTTGTGGCTTGGAAGAAGATGATTCAGTTTAATTCCCAGTTGAATCATATGGAATGCTTATCACAAAAAAAATAGGGGTTCTGTTACAAAAGAAAAAAAGGAAAAGAATAAGTCTATTTTAAGACTTCGTATGGGCAGAGTCCCCAGGATACTGATAATTTGGCAGTCTGTATTGTTAGACTTTGTGACAGCACCCTATTATTCCTAAATGTTGCATAGGGTGTGCATTTTTTCTTTCAGTTTAAGCTTTAATTTAGTTTTTCAATACCTTGAAAATATTACAAAAATGGAGTAATGTGAAATATCCATTTGTTGAAGGGCTAGTTGTACTCCAAATGTACTTCTAGCAAGGACAATCAACACTGTATGTTTTCTAGCATTTCTGTCTGAGCAAACAATAGCTAACATGAATTGAGCTGTTTTACACATCACATGCGCAAATGATGTACACATCTAATGCAAGGTACTATTCTTCATGACCTGTACATATGAAGTCATTTACTTATTCACAATTGTCCAATGAGGTAGGTGTCCTTATCCTCATTTTGTAGATAAGAAAACTGAGTGAGTAAGGAATTGGATAATTAACTCAAGTTGCAGAGCAGTGTTGAGATTTGAATTACAACTAAATACCTTGTTTAAGTTATGCCAGCCAATAGTTTGCATAGATTCATGGTTTTCCATCTTTTTTTTTTCTGGCCAGCTTAAATTCACCTTTCTAGAAAAAGGAGTTAATTAAACAGAAAACAAAGTTCATGTATAGAATTTTTCATTTTTAGGAGGAAAACTGCATATTCTCGAAAACCTATTTAAAAATAACAACAACAAAAAAGCAGATATGTTTTCTTTCACCAGCAGTAAGCAGACTGTTCAAAGGCAAGTTGACAAAAATATTCATTATACTTTAAAACTTTTGATTGGTCAAACTAAAATTCAATCAATATTGCTTGTATCATTTTTAATGTCTCTCTGATAATTTAAAGGGCTCCAGAATTTTGAAGTTGTAAACACGTGGTTTTCTTTTTGTGCCTCAACTCCTAAACAAAACCACATGGATAGAGAAATGACTTCACATGGCTAGTGAAAAATACCAAGTCATTTGCTCCTCTACAGGATGGTAATAGAGTCAATGTGAATTATCTTGGCATAAAAGGCATTGGCAAGTATTGGTTAGGACTTGTTTGGTTGCAAGTAACATATTGAAACTTAAGCCAAAGGGAAAAACTGAAACCAAAGCCTCAAAAACCCTTAGAATATTTGTTCTTTTTTTTCTGCTTCTTGAATTTGTTCATTGCTTAGCAGTATTTTCTGCCATCTCAGTCTTTATAATAAATACAAAATACGACACTACTCACATTTATAACTTCCTCCAACTGTACCTAGAATTTCTATCCTGGATCCCAAAGTCTCAGAGAGACTAACAGGTTCAGCTTGGTCAGCCAACTCTAGTCTGGAACAAGGACAGAATAATACATGAGGATGAGAGAGTGTCAATTCTCAGAATAAGAGAACTCTAGACAATCAACTCAAATGAATTAGCACAAAGCCTGTTATTTAAAGTCATCTCTCAATTTTCACTCATTTAGCTGACTCATTTAGCTGAACTTGAGTTTTGACTATTTTCCTGTAATATTTATAACTATGGCACATTCTCTGCAGCTTCTAAAATGCATAACTCCAAGTCAGTGCACATGATCTTGAGAAAATTTGCAAAGGAACACAAAGAAAAGTTTTAATTAAAAAAAAACAAACAGAAAATTATAGTAAATCACCTGACCATATGATCTGTGTCCATCTCATCCAACATGCACTAGTTGCTGAGCAAGAAGAAACCCTAATTGAGGTAATTTTCATCTTTCTTTCTCCTTCTAGCTGCAGAAGAAAATAATAAAGATCAACTATAAAAGAAACAGCTGGAAGAAAAAGATAACAAGGAGGAAGAAGAGGAAGAAAAGGTTGATGAAGAGGAAGAGATGGAAGAGGAAGAATGGAAGAAGGTAGATAAGAGGGAGAAATGTTCCAATACAGATTATGCATAATTGTCTGATCTATTGGTATGTTGATTTTTCTACAAATCACATTTTTCTTAACCTGGATAGCCAAAACATTTGGGATTTACTACTTCAGGGAAGAAAGATGAAACTGAAGAGAGAGAATACTCAATATCAATACTTTGTTCAGATATTCATTTCCCTTATTTTGAGAAATTAAATACTGTTTCAAAAAGATGTGGGGAGAAAGGTTTGGGTAAAAGGTAATTCAACTGACCCAGGAAACTATGATTATAATAAGATTATTTCAAATTGAATAAGGGTCAATTACCAATGGGGCAAAGGCTTGAGATAGAAATAAAATTATGACAAATATAGAAAATTCCATTTCTTGAACACTTATGGTTACATAGTAAAATTTGTAGTCATTACTAATTCCATAGAAGAACCAAGAAAATGATAACATCAACTGTTTTCATCCAGCAAAATGTGTTTTAGGACCCTTGGGTTAAAAAAAAATTAAAAATGATACCCATGCCCATCAATGTATACATATTTTTTCCTTCCTATCTTGAGGCCCTGGGAACCAAGCTCCCTGGCACTTGAATCATTTGTCTGTATGTTCCAATGGAATTGCAAATTTGCTAGAAAATTTTATATTCCACTTTAAGATTTAAACCTACTTGGTGTTCAATATTTTAAACTTCTTCTTTCCTCTACTCATTTTCCTTACTTCCTTCAACCTTCTAGGGCTTAAACAGCATCACCAGAATAAGACCTCCTTGGATGCTGTTCCTTAGTTTGGCCATGATAAAAAAGACTCTTTTAAATGTACTTCCATAGAGGCCACATGTGTACCATATATAGGCCTTAATATAAATCATGAGGAGAGGGCCTCCAGCATCCTATGAGTAAAGTCTTGAACTTGGTATGCTATAGTAGTTAGTCTTTGATCCAAGGAAACCCACAATTGAATTAGCAGAGATGATTTCTTTTTTGCTTTCTTCTTTCTCATGCCCTTGGTAGATTTGTAGTGTAGCTCAGAAAACTGTATCCCTAGAGACATATAGGAATCATTCTATTTGCATTGTCTGCAGCTTCTCTGACTCCAATAAGTGACTTTTAGCAAGGGAAAGTGGTAAAACTAGACAGTTCAAGGGAATGAAACTTGTCATGGCCCCATGGTAATAGTCTGTCATTATTCCAGGGTGGGGAGAAGAACAAAATATTCATTATAACCAAGTGATAGGTCACATTATGTTAAGGATCCCTAACATACTACCTTTTCTATTTCCATTTGCTTGTTTGAGCTCTACCTCTAAATGGACTGGGGGGACAATGCCATGTGACAGACAGTCATAATAAAAAACCCTCCCAGCTTGGACCTTCTAGTCTAAGTAGTCATTGGACCACTACTCTCTGCTGGGATCACGCTTCCAGAAAAAAGGGACCAAAAAGCCATAAGTATATGTGCCTAAAAGTGTTGGGTTACAAATAACAGTTCTTTAAATACCCTGCAAGCTCCACATGAAAACAAATTATACCTAGATTTCTCCTGGGTAGCCATGTGTCCCTATCACCAACAATGTGATTTTGCTTCTATATTTTTGCTTCATCTTATTTACAAAAGGATTTAAAGTGACTTTTAAGATACATGAAAACTTTCAATTGGCATTTTCACAGAAGCAAAAGAATATTAGTACAATAAATGAAGTTAGGAATGGGGCTCATCTCAAAACTATATAAATAGTCTTATGAAGAAACCCAAATTTTATGATAGGGCAAGGAGAAAGGGACATCTGATCAGTAAGTTAAATCTGACCAGTCTGGTTGTCACAAGTTCCTAAAAGCTGTTTATGAAGAGGCAAGCCATCTAAGGGTTCCTCATGGAGGAGAAAACCCTCAGCCTTCACAAAAAGCTAGATAAAAGAGCTGGTACTTGACATAGGTTTCCTGGTCAGTGGGGCAGGAATACCATATTAAATCGCTAGTTTGGATCACCTATGCTTCCAAAGAAAATCAGAAATAAAAATCAAATTGCCTTTAAAAAAATAACATTTTTCTTGTTTATATTTATTGAGCTTGACACAGGCAGATTTATTGGCAAAGATGTTAGAATGTGAAAGTAAATCCCTTGCCTTAGGAGGCTTCTTGTGCCACACATTTGAATTAGCTCCTGTGGAAATTCACTGAGCCTGTATTGCTAGAGGGCAAAATGGGTCATGTTTAACCTTAAATTGTGAAAGGAGCAATGCAGGAAACCAAGAATAGTTGGGAACATTCTTTCTGACTCTTACCACATAATACATGACTTATTTCTTTAGACTATGAATAGGCTTATCTGTGAGTCTGCCCAGGAAAAGTTCACCACCAAGCCAGAGTTGATATAAAAAGTAACAAGAAAATTGAACTACAACAGTTTTAGGAAAGTTAGTGGAAATCTTCATATGGTTGATAAATGCGTATATGAATAGACTTAGAATTTATTGCATCATCCGATTTCTCAATTGAACTTGTTCTGATAGTGATTATTTTATTGACTCTTGAATAATAAAAATTCACAGGACAATGAAAAGAGGACTTTTGACCCCTTTGGGAGGTAAAGCTTACTCCTTCCCCACCCACTGGGGAATGGGCTACACTTAATGACTTACTTCCAGAGGATAAAGCTCAGAAAGAAAAATTGTGGAGAAAAACAGTGGAGAAAACTGCCTTAAATAAGTGATGTAGGCTACCATCACCAGTAACATCATATGGACACCTTGTACTACCTGATATGTTATGAAGAAAGGGGCATCTTACCTGTAATATTCTTCCACGAAATCTGGAACTGAAATCTAATGATGAGAAAGACATCAAACTCCATTTGGGAGACATTCTACAGGACATCTGGCCAGAACTTCCAAAGGTAATGAAAAACTAAGGAAACACTAGGCAATTGTCACATACCAGTGGAGACTGAAGGAATAAGATAACAAAATGCAGCGTAGGATCATTGGATATCCTGGAGCAGAAAGTAGAAATTAGTGGGAAAATGAATGAAATCCAAATAATGTCTGGAGTTTAGTTCATAATAATATATCAATGTCAATTTGTTGGTTTGATTGATGTACCAAGGAGATGTAGGATGCTAACAATGGCAAAACTAGGTATGGTATCTAGGAACACTGATTACCTTTGAAACTTTTCTTAGATCTAAAATTAATTTAAAATTAAAATCCTATTTTTAAAAAGGATTCTTTAAATATACATTATTAAATATCCTGTGATCTATTCACATTGAATAAGGCATAACACTTTTAAATTTAAGAAGTAAAACTCTCTAAGAGGAGAAGACTCTACTAATTAAACATGAATTAGTTAAGAGATAAAGCATAAAAGTCAGGCTAAAAATCATTGGATCACAATGGACATGAAAAATTACTTACTGTAATTTTGCAGAGAGATGAAATTTTCCATATTCTTTTATACTCCTTAAGAGATGTTCATTCTCTTTACACTTCCTCCCCCATAACATGAGCTTCCTAATATTAACCATGCAAAGTCACCTGAGTCTTCCTTTAGAAAGTTCAAAAGGGATTTCTTTTCACACCCGAGTTACTGTAAGGTATTTTCCTACTTTATTTCTCTGGCATGTTTATCTTGTATTAATTACCTTGCCTTTGCCATGAAGGACAGCAAATGGTGCCTGACATCCTGCTATGCTGAACTAGTAAGCAATGTAAGGAAGCCAGCTATTTTCCATCTCCATTGTGGACAGAAAGAACAGAGGCTAGTGCTCAAGTGAAGGAACTGCAAACACAGTTCTCCAGGAAATCTTTCATGATCTATTGCTGCCAATTCTGACACCAAGAGGATTTGACCTCTTTTTCTATGTTCAGTCATACATTTGAAACAAGGTTGATGAACATAGACTGGGAGGTTGGTCCAAACTGAAATAGAATCAAAGACTGAGGAATTGAAAAGGGAAAATATTCATGCTATATTTTCTCCATGAATATAAATGCAGGGTATTTATTTAATAAATAAACTGAAACCTTCTCTACAAAAAAATTTGAGACATTTGGAAACAGAAAGGAATTAAAATTAAGGAAGTTCATTTCAGTAGCTCATTTAATCCCTAAAATGTGAAGAGCACTGTATTATATTTCTAGAGAAAAAGAAATACAATTCTCATAAACCTAATGGAGAAATGACATAAATCTTTCATCATGGGAATTGACAAACTTTCTGAAAATGTGATGAATGGCTCATACAAGCTTCAAATGAGGCAGCTGCAACATACTGCTGACTGCAAGGGCTTTGTGAACTCTTTGGGCAAAAAATTAACACAAAGGGAAAATAAATTCTAAAGATTTGGAAATAGAAATGAAGTTAAAACTTTTCTCCTTTTAGCCATTAACATTAAAATTCACAAAACCATTGAAAGAAATTCAATTCATTAAATGAATATGTATTTTTGACCATATCCAATCATACTTTATAGATATGCATTTTTCCCAAATAATACACAGTATGTGTTGTAGGTAAGTTAATATTAACAAGGATTACAATATTACTTTCCAAAAATTATTCTTTTGTTTTTCATGATACTTCAAACTTCTAGAAATGTTCTCTAGCTGAGAGAAGAATATTCTAGCCTTGTCTCAGCTTTGTTTTCCAGCTGTCTTCTAACATAGTTTGATGATGAATATAGAATGGGTTGTTTTTTATTCTCCATACCACACAAGAATGTTGCTGAATAAGATTCCCAAAGTTCATTCTGATTGGAAAGGGTTAGGCCTCACATGTACCCATGAAGATAAATGTGAAGTTATCGTTTGATAAACATAAGGGTTTTGTTGAGGAGAGTTCAATGACTACTCAGAATGAAATTCTCAATTTGGAAAGAGTGAAGCAAAGAATAAAGGCCAGGTAAGGAATGCCAAATATGTCCATCATATTTTCTATTCCAAAGTAATAAATGGATACCAATTTTTAAAGGACATCAAGTTTAAACATGTTGCAAATTCTGCCACATTTTTTCCCACCCTAACTATCCAACTTTATGTCCCATCAATCTTTTTCTACTCTAGACAAGCCAGTCTCACCCTTCTAGGAATGTGTAATGTTTATAGCTGATTTTGTGTTTCCTGATATACTCTATCTTTGGAAGATTCTTTTTCTCCTTTCATCTTTCACAGAAGGCCCAACTCAAACCTACATTCCATTTTTATTTCCACTGTGACTGATCAAAATTCAATTCAATAAAATACTTCTGTACTAAGCAACTAACATGTAGAAGAGTTTTTTTTGGAGGCACTTTTTAATTTTTATTTTTCACGTTTAAATTTATATACCTCATTTTATCATTCAATATATAGGACACTATATTTTTAAGTCTTCTGGTATTAATATTTAAATTATTTGCTTGGCTTTTCAAAAACAATACATCTTAATTTGTCTTTTTAAGAGAGTAGTGATTTTAGAAGTGTTTCCTTTTGGGTAGGGATAGAAATTGCTTCTGAGTCACAGCAAGCAGTGGGTTGGTTGCATTTTAAACTCCAAGGATCCCATTCAGATCAACAATATCCCAAGGAATAGAAAACTGAGGACCTCCCTAGATATAAAGTAAGTAACAGCAAGCATAAGGAGAGGATTGCTGTGAACTGATGGAGGAGAGTAGGCTCATTGTGGTTTACTAACTGGAGACAAGGTAAATGAGATCGTGCACGTACAAGCCTGGTAGACGCCAGGGCCAGTTGATGGGAAGTCAGGGAAGGCCCAGCTAGCTTCTTTCAAGGGATACAACAAAAGAGACATCTTGGAAATTACAAAATACATGTATGAAGATTTGAATTTGGTGCTAACACACCTTATATACAAACAGAGATATGAAAAATTGTGGTATATATGTGTATTAAGAATTACAATGCAAAAAATAGATTTTTTCATGCTTTATAAGTTGTAAGATATTAGAAACAAAATCAGAATTCATTAATATTATTTACCAAAATGAATGTGAGTTGTGTGATCTTTTTTTAATTTGTTTTAAGTAGTTACACATGACAGCACAATGATCTTGACAAGAAGAAGATTGTTTTATTTTAAGAGCATGAGGTGTTTGAAATACTCATGGAATAGCTACAAAGAGATGTTTAGAGTCTAGAAAATTGAAGATTTCGACTTACTGATAGTTTAGGGGATGTAGACCTACCCACTTAGAAATGGAAAGATATAAGATTGCCTAAACTAAGGCAAGACTATGTAGAAATAAGAGAACTAAAGACAAAATACTGCACAAGAAGCAGGTTAGGTATCAAACTATGGCGATTGAGTAGTGTCAGGCACAGAAAGAGAACAAGATTAAAAAGGAGAATATTCAAATATGTCTAATACAGTTAAATTAAGTATATGAAATTTGGTTTACTAGTTTTCACCATTGCCTACTTAGACTATTTCCCCTAGTTTAAACTTTGCTAAAACAGAATTTGATTTATTGCTGATACATATTGTATTAATTTTGTCTCAATCACTAGGCTTGGTCAGCAGAAAATGAACCTTGTGATATAAATATGGTTACCTCTTCCCTTCCACTGGGCACAGGTCAGAAAATTTGCAAAGATGGGAGCATGAAAAAGACTCACCACCGCAAAATGTGTCTTCTTTGACAAAAAAAAAAAAAATTGTTATTCAAAAATTCTAGTCAACATTCTCCACCCTATGTGCCTATCATTAAAATGAAAAGGAGTTCTGCTCGGACAGAGGTAGCACCAAATATATAGAAATTTTGTCAAGAAGTATAGATTGAGGAAGAAGTAAAGTAAAGCATTTTGTTTAGGATAGGAACTAATGAAGATGGAGTTTCAAAAAGCCTTCAAGAGAACAGCTACTACAAGTGCTGAGAACAATTATTCTGGTGGAGAGTGTTGCCTCACCAGTGGAGTGAGCTGGGTATTTCAGAAAAGAGTGAAAAGTTTTTTAAGAAATAAGCTATCATAATATTAATAACATAAGTCTAATGTTATGTAACCTATTCTTTTTTAAATTTTTTTATTTGTTTTAATTAGTTATACATTACAGTAGAATGCATTTATGACTTTGATATATCACACATACATGTGATACTCATTTAGTTCTTGCTAACGAGGGAAATGTATTTTCAATTAATAATTCAATGCATTTGTGCATTAGTAGATGAATATCTTGAATGCCATCTTTAATATAAGAAATTGAAATTAGATGTTCTTTAAAACTGATTCACAGACACTCAATAGCTCTATTATTACATCTGGTTGGATATAAATCTATCTCCAGTTATGTTGGTGATGCTAAAGAATTACCAAAGATAACTGTCATTTTCTTACAAATGGAGTGCTTTCCAAATTGATTTTAAAATGCAATAATCAGCCTATTTATGTAATCTACGTACTTGACTACACTTCCTAGTATTCAATATCATATTGGTAGATGTTATATTGTATTCTAGAACTTTTTTTCTTAACCTCCTAATGCTTTATCAGGCCATATAGTTTTGTCTTCTCCTGGCTTTCCAATAGGTTTCTGTTTACTTTTCTTATCACTGAACAATTTAATGAAATTGCATTCTTTTATTTAATTTTTTAATTTGTTCTAATTACTTATACATGACAATAGAATGCCTTTTGACACATCATACATAAAGGAAATATAATTTCTCATTCTTCTGGTCGTACATGATGTAGAGTTACAGAGGTCATGTAAACATATATGCACGTAGGTTATTAATATCCAATTAATTCTATTATCATATTCCCTCCTCTCCTTTCACTCCCTTCTGTTTAATCCAAAATCCCTCTATCTCCCCCTTCCCTTATTGTGAATTAGCATCCACATATCAGAGAAAACATTAGGCCTTTGGTTCTTCTGGGATTGGCTTATTTTGCTTAGCATAATATTCTTCAGTTCCATTCATCTACTGGCAAATGCCATAATTTCATTCTTCTTTAAGGCTGAGTAATATTCTATTGTGTATATGTACCACAATTTCTTTATCTATTCATCTGTTGAAGAGCACCTAGGTTGGTTCCATTGTTTAACTATTACAAATTGAGCTGCTATAAACATTGATTCTTAATACACATAGAGAGCACAATTTTTCATATCTCTGGTTGTGTACACAGTATATTCACACCAATTTGTGTCTTCATAAGTGTATTTTGGGTATAGACCTAGAAGCGGGATAACTGGGTCAAATGGTGGTTCCATTCCAAGTTTTCTGATGAATCTCCATACTACTTTCCATAGTGGTTGCACCAATTTACAATTCCACCAGCAATGTATGAATATTTATTTTCCCCACATTTTTGCCAACATATATATTGTTTCTTGTATTCTTGATTATTGCCATTTTGTCTGGAGTGAAATGGACTTTCAGTATAGTTTTGATTTTCATTTCTCTAATTGCTAGAAAAGTTGAGTATGTTTTCATATATTTGTTGAATTGCTTCTTCTATGAAGTGTCTGTTCAGTTCCTTAGCCCATTTATTGATTGGGTTATTTGAAACTGCTTTCTTCTAAGTTATTATCTATTAT